TTTAACCCCCAAACTCTCCCCTACCCTCCGCCCTCACCCCTGCAAAAATCCACAAATCCTAACCTGCATGTTTCTTATTTACAAAAAGTAAAAAGTGACTTTGGCTGACTTGTTTCCTGGTCTCCGCCTACATGGCGTTTTCTGTCCGTGCTCCCAGCACTGGACTTTCCGCAGACCGCATCTCCCCGTGTTGTCCTGTCCTTCCAGCCCATTAATGAACTTCAGACCAAACCCAGCCTCCAGCTTCTCCCTTGATAGGAAGCTGCCTTCCCCTCTTGCTATTTACCACCCTTGTAGTTCACCTGTCACTCTCAAGGAATTTAAATAAATTCTTCCAGCAAAGCAGTTGTGAGATGTTCTCAAATACCTGAGGAAAGCAAAAGGGAAACCTAGCCAGAACATTTGTCTTTTAATTTTAAGTTCTGTACCAAAGAGAAGCCTTGATAATTGGTTGCAATGAAAATCCACAGGGAAGACAGGTTGTGTTCTTTAAAGACCCAGCAGGGCCGGCCGAGTGGCACGATGGTTAAGAATTGGCTTGGGACGCCAGAGGGCCCCGGTTTGGATCCCACATATGAGGGCCAGTGACACTGCCCTCTACAGCTAAGATGCTGAACAACAGCTCAACCTGGAGCTGGGCTGCCATGAGTCGCCGGCGAAGGCGTAGGCCACAACCCCTGTTGAAGTGGGTTGTCATGGGCTACCGTGTGTAGCCAGCAGCCAGCGTGAGCGGCCAGCAGCAGCAGTGAGCAGCCGTCCAGAAGCCGGCGACTGATCTGCCTTGCCCGGGAAGAGCGCAATGATGGTGCCAACTTGGGCCAGTGAAGCAATGTCCTCCACAACTAGACTGAAGAACAAAAGGACAGCAACTTGTCTGTTCCCCTTCCCCCAATTCAATTCCCCAGCACTGTTCCCATCCCCCCAAGTCCCCAATAAAAATCTTTAAAAAAAATAAAAAAGACCCAGCAAAATATGTCAAGCCATCTTGTCTCCACTGGGATGATTCAAGGGTGGCAGAAAACAGTAGAGAGATTCTTAAAGGGAATAGCTGGATGGGATTCTTAGGTGGAGAGAGCAGTGGGGTGGAGTAAACACCTGCTGGTTTTGTCGGTCCCATACCTCTTTGCACCACCATCTATTCCTTTAAGGTACACGCATCTTGCTGACCATTCATCTGATTCTGTGGGCTGCCCATTGCAGTGACCCATTCCCCTCCCACAGGGCGAGCCATAGCACTCCAGCCCCCTGTGCACAGAGCCGGGTGCAGTGTGATGCAGGAGAAATCAGACGCTGGGAGAAAGAGCTCCCTTTATCATGTAGATCGTGAGTGTGATAATATCAGCCTGGAGTCACCTGCCAAAGCCCCTGCCAGAGAGAGGAAGCCAGTCTGTAGGTAGAGTAAGGAAAAAAAAATCAAGAAAAGAGGCAAAGAAGCAATGAAAGGAGAAAGGTGAGGATGACGGTGATGATGGTGGTGGTGACCACAATGGCGACATCATTTGAGTCCCTAGGCCCTGCCATTCCTAAGTCCATCTCCCTGTCTTTCCCATTTTCATAACAACCTACATATTTCTCTCTTTCACTTAAGCTAAAAACCTTTTGAATTGGGTTTCTCTCACTATAAACTCAGTTCTGATGGGTTGATGAGATTATGAGATAAACACCAAAGGAAAGACAGTAAATGTATAATAAATAGCCGTGCCTGGCTAGTGGCCACCTGCTGGATGGCTCATCTCCAGGTCCTTGCTACCCAGTGTGTCCCCTGAATTGGCATCACCAGGCTCCTTGGTAGAAATGCAGAACTCCACCCAACCCCAGACCTAATGAACCAGATTCTACAGTTTGACACCAGAGTCTTTTCAAGTGTAGAAATCCCTGCTCTGAAAAGACGCCTCCCCCACCTTCTCCAGCTCAGGGAGGGTGGCAAGGATCTAATACACCATGGAGCCTGTTTCCAGAGTGTAGACTCCAAGGCCCTGGGGAGCAGGACGGAGGAAACACCAGGTACACGTGGTACACCAGGTGTGGGTGCGCCTGTCCTTCCAAGCCACCAGGTGGACAGCCACGTCCAACCAGCAGCTCTCACCGGCCTGCCACAACACGACCTGGACAGAACCAAAAGCCGGGCACTCCAGCGGAATGCTCGGAGTCCCCATCTGGAGCACCTCGCTGCTGGGTGTCCTTATAACCACAGCAGAGGTGTCATCATTGCCCCTGAAGTGGGGGTAGGGGAGGTTGATGAATAACAATGAATAAAAAAGACTTCTGAGCACATCCCAGGACATCCAGTCAGATATCCTGTAAATTCCAGAAGGCACATTGCCCTTAACTTTGAGGAAGGGGTAGACAAAAGGTGTCCATCACCTTCACCCAAAACAAGCCCCGAAGCCTTACAGACTGCCTCAGTCTGTATCCCTGCAAGAAAGAGACAGAACACTTAAATGGGTAATTTGGGGGGCAGGGTATTAAAAGGACTGTTTACAATAGTGGGGGCAGATTTTTGGGGAAACCAACAAGGAACGGTGTAGGGAACCTGGTCTGAAGGGGTAAAGGATGGAGCAGTTACTGAGACCTATAAGAGGAGAGATGTCCAGAGTGAGCCACCTGAAGACCTGTGGCCTTCAATAAGCCACGGTGACCCAGCAGGGAGGGAGCTGGGGGATAAATATCTTGACATCACTCCCCTCCCATCCTCTGCCCTTCTGGCCAGACCCACCCAGAAGTCGGAAGGCAGGGGGATCTAGCGATCCAATCCATCAGAGTCTACTTCCCAGCGCCCAGATCAATCTATGGGCTGGACCAAAGATAGTGGATACACACCAAGCATGCCATCTGCCCCACTCCACACCCATAGCAGGCACTAATAATCTATCAAAGGGCCTTGGCCTGCTTGGCTTGGATAAGTCTTCACAATATTTAACACAGAGCTCCACCTCGAATCTATTAACCTTAGAACATGAGACGAAATACATGGTGGGTGCCATTGGTTGTCTAGCTAATATCCACCCCCTCCTTTCTTGCTACTACAGCCAGGAACATATCCCAGCCTCAGGTGAGAAATTCAATTTCCCTTGCAGCTAGGAGTGGCTAGTGCAATGAAATGCACTCCTAACTGGCACAAAACCCATGTGCCATCCTTAGGATACATAGGTGTAAATTCTTTTACTCATGTATGTGTTCGTTTCTCCTTGTGCTAATTGCTGGGTATAGAAATAAATGAGGCATAGTCTGCTCCCTCCTTAAGGAAACTTGATCATTGTTTTGCAGGATGAGTAGGAGTTTGCCAAATGGGTAAATCAGAGGAAGGTACAAGAAGCAGGAATAAAAGAGTTGATACAATGTCAGGGTGTTAAGTAGTAGGAATCCAACAAGCAGTCTATAATGTGTAACAAAAATGTAACAAAAGAAGAAGCCATCTGCTTTGAACAACCAATTCTGAAAAACAATTGGTCGCCCCAATTCAAAAAACAAAAAAAGCCAGGAAGGATTATCTACTTGGAAAGAACCTGAAGAACAGCCAAACAATTATGCTATTTGCTCATGTGATGCGAAATCAAAAAAGTGGTTTGGGATTTTCTCAAACACGTAAAATATTACATAAAACAGATGTAAAGTGAAACAAAACATAGTCAAAGTCTTTTACCTGGGACTTAACGTCCCATAGCTGAATTGGGGTCACAACCCTTGGGATCAGGCCCATGTCTCCAAATTTATCCCCCCAGCTTCTTACACAGTCTCTTTCTGGGGCCACACTGGCACTCTTTGACTGATGAACAGTCCCTGGGTCCCTGCAGTTTCCACTCCTTCCCCTTTCTTGCCTGAATCCTCCTTCCTGTTCTTCCAGGCCCGGGTGAAGTTCCACCAGACCAAATAAAGGTAAATCTTAGGTAACAGAAAAACTAGATTGAAGAGCCCTGATGCTCTGAACTTTTGAGGCACTTACCATCAACAGGATTTATGTGGTCCTAACCACACGTGAGTTTAGTTGTTTCATCTTCCCTTTGTGTGGTGCTCTTCTAGGTCAGAAAGTGTGCTGAACATCAGTTGTTTGCACCCTCCCAGCATCACTTTCCCCTCTTTTTTAGCAACACTCACCTCCCTTCCTATTAGGAAGTCTTCTATGGATCTGCTCTTTCCCTTTTCCAACTATAGGATGTCTGTGTGGCCCCAGCCCAGAACAGGACTCTTCTGTCCGTGGGTAGTCACATGCTTTGGGCGTAGCCAATCATAGCACTCATCTCTGGCCTCAGTGAGTGGTCCAAGGGATATGCACATGACCGAAGCTGAGCCAATCAGAGTCTTTCTTGAGGTTTATAGAAATTGAAGGGGGTGGGGTGGGGTGGATACAGCGATGGAAAGAGACAAAAGCCAGGAGAGAGGCCTGAGGATGTCATTTGAGTATTTAGATCCAGTCAGCCCTAAAGTTAGGTCCACCCCATTTTTCCCAGTTATGTGAGCCAATAAATCCCCCTTTTGTTTAAATTAGTTCAAGTTGCATTACTGTCGTTTGGAAACAAAAGTTGTGATAAACCCATACTATTATTACCCCACTGCCCGGCACATGTGTGCAGAACTGAGAACAATTGAAAATGCAAAAGCAGATTCAATTATATTTTAAAATAATATTGGCTACGATTAATTTATATGAAATATCCAGGATAGACAAATCTATAGAGGCAGAAAGAGGTTGTGAGGCTGGGGTGGGCGGTGGGAGGTAGAGGGAAGTAGAGACAGGATTGGGGGTGAGGGAAAGGTGTGGGACTTCTTTGTGGGGTAATGAAAATGCTCTAAGATTGACAGCAGTGCTGGTTACACAGTCCCATAAATATACTAAAAGCCATTGAATTGTACTTTTCAAATGGGTGAACTATATGGCATGCAAATTATATCTAAATAAAGCTGTTCAAATATATATTTAGTGTGATAGCAGAAATTAGAAACCAAATAGAAGAGTCAAATCTGAGTTACAGGGAAATTTAATTTAAGGAATACACACATATCCCAAATTTAATGTATCTTTTCCCCCAGAACCTGCATTTTCTGTCTTGGTGAATGATGGTGTCAGCATCCAATCGCCCAAGCCAGAAATCTAGGGAATGGGGGGGGCGGGGACGGGCATTTTCACACCTGTCATTCATTCTAGTTTAAACCAAAGTCCTCCTAGCTCCCAAATATCTCTCCAAGGGACTCCTCCCCCACCCCTGCAGCTACTGTCATCATGCAGACCCTCACCTGTTTCCCTGCACAGCTCACTAACTCGTCTCCTGCCCATCTCACCGCCACCCACCCCATCTGTTCTGCAGACTGCCACTAGAGTGACCTCCTCTACGGCATAAGTCTGACCACGCTTCTCATATGCCCCCACTGCCTACAGAGTAAAACCCAGGCACCTGAGCTCTGCACACAAGCTCCTCTGGGCTCCAGCCCCTGCCTGTGTCTCCCAGCTTCAGATCTACTATACCCCTCATCTCACTGCTCCCAGTTTCCCTCTTGCTTGTGCCTTTGCACTGTTTTTGTTGCCTGAACTTCCTTTTTATTCCTCCTTTACCTGAAAATTCCTCTGATTCATGCAAACCCCCAATAAACATAATGTCCTCCAAGCATCCTCTCCTGACCCCTGCTAGCCAAGCCAGGTGCTTCTCCCTCTGTGCTGCTTACCCCACTTCCACATGTCTTCATCGTCGTTCTGCGCACACGGTGTTATAATTGCCTCTGTGTTTGTCTGCCACGTAAGCCTGTGACAGGGTCCAGGTCTTCTTTATCTTCACATGCTATCCCGGGCTTGGGACACGGTGAGCATGCATTCACCATGTGCTGCATGAATAAATCTGCACTAGCAATATCAGAAGCGTAATTAGACTAAGGATGGTAGTTAGATATTTGGGAGAAAAAATCATTTGTGGAAAAATACGCAAATGGGATAAAATCGATTAAATTTCACAAACTTCTTCCCTTTCCCCAACCTTCCTAAGAGACCCTCTACCTGACAGCCTAATTCCCCCTTCTCCCCCATCCCCCGAGATACCAATTCCTCGACATTTTTGGTGCAGTCTGGAGTCAGCAAAGGAGGACAACAGCAGAGGAGTCTGAAGAGAAGTAGAAAGAGCAAAGGCAAAAAGATAAAACCCACCAGTGTAATAAAGAATGGAGAGAGGAAATAGCCCCTAAGACAGGCTGCCATCGGGAATACACGGAAGCCTGCTTCATGTCCTTCCAGAAAGAGGAGGAAAAAAATCAAATTCCCTTTTCATCACGTTTTGGCTTATTTGGACTATGCTCCTCTGACTGGTTCTAGGGCTGGGTCATGTGGGTCACAGCTTCAATAGGGTGACACAAGCAAGTTGTTTCAGTAAATGTGAAAGGAAACTGGGAAAGCAATGAAACCATATCCTGCTATTAATAGGATGAGACTCCTTACCCATGTCCGTGGACCACACTTGTCTTCACATTTGCTCATACTATTCTCTGTCTGGTAGGAATTCTCCTGAGCCCTGGAACAGACAGAAACACAGTTAAGCAGCAGAGGACACATGAGTGTCCACAATCACGTGGACTATCCAAAGCCAGGCCACCCCAGGATTCAGGCACCCTAATATCTGGCCCCCGCTTTACCACAAATGGGTTGTATGACCCTGGGTAAGGCACTTCCCCTCTTTGAGCCTCAGTTTTCTCATTTGGTAACTGAGGGGGTTTAAGCCAGATGACCAATAACTGACCATTCCAACTCTGAGAGTCTATGATTATAGGAGCCTGGGCCAACCGTCTTCTTCAAAGCCTCCAAACCCCTACTCTCCCAAACCCTTACCCTCAAATGAAGGCTTTGGAGGAAGGAACACTTCAGGACAGCAGTGAACTAAAGAAAGTCTGAGGACATAGCTCTGAAGCTTTCGAGCGGAGATTGTCAGCAAGCTCCCCGGAGGAGCTTTGAAGAAGCATCTGTGCCCATAAAGAGCATTTAATTAAAGAGCAGCAAATGGCAGCATAGCAAACTAAAAAGTAGGCTGTTCAGAAATATTTCTCCAAACCCAGAACGTATCACTCTGCGTCTCTCCTCAGCCAAGCTGCATGCACAATGGCATTTGTTAGAGAAACACAGAAGCTTTGTTTGGGGCCATCTAACCAGCTGCCCTGGACAGACAGCTGCTCTTGCTTAAGCCTGGACAGTCTCCTTGGCACCATCTCCTCCCAGCAGAGGTGAATGAACCTCCCAGGCCTTGGCCTGGGAGCCAGGCTGAGGACTGCATTGGCCTTAGCAGGACGAATTTCTCCATAAGGGGTTTTTAAATCCATGTGTGTTTCACATGGTGCTTCTGCCTCCCTTGTGTGCCAGCATGTTGTGAGAGAACCGTTAGGGCTCCAAGAAGGAAGGCCTTCCACGACACATGAGAAGGGTGATGCTCTGCAGCGGAGAAATTGCATACAGTTTCCACATCAGAGGAGTCAAGTTTAAACTTCAGAAAGACTCCTTCAAGGTTGGATTTAGGAATTTGCCCAGAGCCACAGAAACTAGGAAGTGTCAGAAGCAGGATTTAAACCCACGTTTCTGTGGGACTAAAACCCATGTTTTTAACCACATTGCTCCAGCCCCACATCAAGTGGCCCATCACAACACGGAAAACAGCACATAGGCACACGCACATTCAAAATAGGCTGATATGTGGGTTATGTCCCCCAAGGATTCTTCCATCCATTTCCATTCCAAGGGAGTGGACAGTCTTCCTTGCAAGGACCTGGCTTCCATGTTTGTGGTCATGTAAGGCTAACTGGGAACAGGAGGCATGGGTTGGGGTTTTATTTCTCTGTGAAGAGAAATAAAAACAGACTTTAAACAACTTGGACAGCAAGTGATTTTAACAACCAACTCCTGTTGACTCCTAAGAATGAAGGACCAGGAGACTAAGGGAATTTAAAATCCACATCATGACCTGTAAAATTTTATTTCATTGTTTTTTCCAACTGCCTTCCTAAACCAATTTTTCTTTGCTTTTCTTCTCATTATTTGATAGAAGTTACAAAGAGTGGTGGAATACCCAGCATCTATCTCGGGCAGAGCACTCACACACTGTTTTATAATTATCTCTTCATGTGACTGTTCCCCCTTCATTAGGTTGTCAGATGCCTGAGGCAAGGAGCTTCTCTTATTCATCTTACTATCCCCAATGCATAACACATTATAAGGCTCTTGATCAATATTGTGGGAAGAACAAAGGAAGGAAGGAGGAAAGGAAGAAAGGAATTGAGGAGGAGACAAAAACAAGGATCTAGGACATAAATGTAAGGCTTTTATTATATAACAACCAAGCACGATACATGGTCTTGGGTGAATCCTGGTTTGAACAGACGAACTCTAAGAAACAGAGAGAGAAAAGGGGGAAATTTGAATGTGGATCAATATTAGATAATATTAGGATGTTATTATTAATCATTAGGTATGTTCATGGTATTGGGATTATGTAAAAAAAAGGTCCTTTTTTTTTTTAAAGATTCTTATTGGGGAATTGGGGGGATGGGAACAGCACTGGGGAATTGAGGAAGGGGAACAGACAAGTTGCTGTTGTTTTGGTCTTCAATCTAGTAGTGGAGGACATTGCTTCACTGGCCCAGGTTGGCACCATCATTGCGCTCTTCCCAGGTGAGGCAGATCAGTCACCGGCTTCTGGACGGCCGCTCACTGCGGCTGCTGGCCACTCACGCTGGCTGCTGGCTGCTGGCTGCTGGCTACATACGGTAGCCCATGGCAACCCACTGCCACAGGGACTGTAGCCTACGCCGTCGCCGTCGCCAGCGACTCACGGCAGCCCAGCTCCAGGTTGAGCTGTTGTTCAGCATCTTAGCTGTGGAGGGCAGTGTCACTGGCCCTCATATGTGGGATCCGAACCGGGGCCCTCTGGCATCCCAAGCGAGTTCTTAACCATCGCGCCACTCGGCCGGCCCCAAGGTCCTTATTTTTTAAAGACGCATATTCAAGTGGCAAAATGTCATGACATACATATAATTCCCTCTTAAATATTTAAAATATTTCAGAAAACAAAGGAGGGCAAATTAACAATTGTTAAACCTAAGTAATGAATATACAGGTGCTTATTGTACTATTCTCTCCACTGTTCTGTACATTCGAAATTTTTCATAATAGAACATTACCATTAAGCAGTGTTCTAACATAACCACAGTGCAATGACCAATTTCAGGAAATTATAATTACTACAATACTACACATCACACATACATCTCATATTCCAATTTTGCCAGTTGTCTCATACTGCCCTTTATATCAACGTCTCGTTTCCAGAATCGAATCCTGAGTCACATTTTGCAGTTTCTTGTCATGCTTCTTTGTTCTCTTTCAGCCTGGAACAGTTTCTCAGCCTTTCTTTGTCTTTCACAACATGCCATCTTTAAAGAGGAAGGCTCACGGTTTTGTTGCATTTGTCTGATTGTGGCCTCATGATTTGGTTTTCTCAAATACTATAGGATTCTGGCAGGAATACTATATACGCTGCTGTGGCCTTCTCAGTGAGACACTTTGAGAGGCACCAGACGTCCACTTGTCCTATTGGTGGTATAGATGTTGGTCACCGGTGAAGGTGGTGTCTGCCAGTTTCTCTCGTGTAAAGGTACCTTTTTTGCCTTTGTAAACAACAAGTAATCTGAGACCGATTTTTGAGGCAGATGCTTTGAGACCGTGTAAATACTCTGCTCTGCTCTCCGACAACATTTCACCCAATGGTTTTTGTCATCCACTGATGATACTTGCTTAAAGCAATGAATATACTTTGATGGCTGCAAAATGGTGACTTTCTAGCTCTCTTTCCTTCTGCGTTTATTAGTTGGCATCCTACTGAAAACAAGAGCTGCCCCTTCTCCCCTAGCATTGGTTTGTTTATTCACTAGTTATCAGTATGGACTCAAAAACATGTTTTTTTTAATATAAACATTTCTGTGGGGGATTAAAGGCGTGTTCTACATTTTAGCAATTCTAAGTCTTGGTGCCAATTTCTTCTGCCTCTCCAGTCATGTGCAGCATCAGCAGGACCGACCCAGGCCAAAGCACACAAGTGAAAGAAATGAAATCATTCTGACCCTTTCCTCCAGCATCCTACTTTGGTTCATTTACTCATTCATGTATTCAACAAGCATATACAGAGCATGCAGGAGGGGCCAAGCTCTGATGCTCCCAAATTGAATCCAACCATGGCCTCTCGACTGAGCAAGACAGAAAACCGGGTGAGTAACTTCCCAACCCAATGGGAGCTGTCACAGTGGTGAGCAAAGAGCCCCAGCACAGAGAAAGAAGGGAAGAGAAGTTGCGATGGCAGCCATCTTGAAGGACGGCTAGGAGTTCCCCAATAGAGACGGAGAAATATGTTTTGCAGGTGTGTTTGGAATCAGTGAGAAGTCGATGGGCCTAAACATTGGAGACTGTAGGTTGCCAGGTTGAATATGGAGATGTAGCAAAACAGATGGTTTTTTATTTTAAAAAAAAATGGCATCCCACCATGTGTACTGTTTTATAAGCAGCTCCTTTCATTACACAACTTGCTCTGGACATTGTTTCCATGTCAACAAATGCAGATCAGTTTTAGTGGATTTTTAAATGAGTCATGTCCAGTGTCAGGCCATGATTTATTTAACCAATCTCTTGCTGATGGACAGGTTGTTTCCTTTTTTCTTTTTTTTTTTTTCCACCACAGTCTTTGTTCATCCATCTTCTCCCATGTCTCTGAGTATTTTCTTAGGACAAATGGAGAAGAGGCATTTGGCTTTCAAGGCCAAAGCCAAACCTGAAAGTGTCAAGGCCCGGGTTGGAGACACTGGTGTTTTCCTTGTTTATCCTTATTTGTGCCTTGACCCTGCAACAGGAGTAGAGTTCCCTAGGAGGCTGCCTCCCCGCCTGCCTGAGCTGAATATGGACCAAACATGAAAGCTGGGTTTAAACGACTCACACCAACTATTGCCCACACAGGTGACTTAAGAGTCCAGAAAGGCACACTGACATTTTCTAGACCTAAACGTTAGAACCTAGACATACTAATATCCCAATTCCCAAGATGCCAGAAAGAAAAACCGTGAAGAATGGATGCGTTTAGAAACCACGCTGCCTAGAGACAAGGACGGAAGGAAGGAGATGGAAACTTAGCTCACGGTTAGCACAACTGGAGAGGAAGAACAGACTTTGAAGACAGGCGGTCCAAATTCTGTAGTTCGGGGCAAGTCACTGAACTTCTCTGAGCCTTGATTTCCTTGGGTGTGAAATGAGAAGATAGTGGCTGCATCATGGAGATTGGGGAGGACTGACTTGGGTAACAAAGGTGAGGCAGTGGCATAGCACTAGACAGTCAGAAACTTAAGAAGAAAAGGTACTCACCGCAGGTGGTTCAACTGAAGAGATTTCACCGCAGGAACTTCTTAGACACTGTAGGAAGGGTGAAGGGAACAAGAAAGGCACCCAGAGACCAGCAAGAGTGGACAGCCATTACCCCCTGTAAGGCTGAGGGAACAGCCGAGGGAAGAGTGTTACCAGCCCCCAGTGACTGCTAGCACCATGGAGAAGGGACCCCTTAGCTAGACTTGGAGTTGTAGCTACTGCTGGTGACAGGACATCAAAGAAAGAGAAAATGAAGAAGAAATGTTCTCTCTGCTCCTGCCCTCAGTCTCCTGTCTCTGCCTCCACGGCCAAGCCCAACCAGAAGCCAGTGAGATGACAAGGGACTCTGGATGATGCAGACCCACTCCGATGCATGTTTCTATTGCGAATGTCACAGCATCAGGGACGCTGACTGCCTTCAGCAGCACACACAGCAGAAAGCAGTCATCCTGCAAGGTTATGGTGGAGCGGGGTCACAAGAGGCGTTCCAGCCTGAGGAAGGCAAAAGCTCAAATGGAC